AACAACAAAGCCCAAAAAGCAAGCCTGTTGCTATCAAGTCAATTCCAATTTATAGTGACCCTACAGTACAGCGTGACGTATGGAACTGCCTCACGGGCAGGTTGTAAAACTACAGAAGCAGACTGCCACATCTTTCTACAACAAAGTCACTGACTTTTCGCTTAACAGCCAACTGCTCTAATCATTCTGCCACCAGGACCCCGATTCAAACTTTATTACTGAGGAATCTGATGACTTGGATCAAGTCAGTTTATGTCCTCTGAGCTTTGGTTTTCACACATATAAATAAACAAAACATAACTTAATTTCCAACAACAACATCTAAACTGAATCCTCACAATATTCCTGTATAGAGTTTCCAAGGAGTGGCTGATGAGCTTGAACTGTCAACCCTGAGATTCAAACAGACCTTGCAGTCCAGCACATTATCCCACAGTGCCACACCAGGACTCCCCATACTTAGATGTTGCTATTGTTGTTAAGTGCCATCAAGTCAATTCAGACCCATAGCAACCCTGTATAGGGTTTCCGAGGAGAAGCTGGTAAGCTTGAACCCCCAACCTTGCAGTTCAAAAGGCTTTGCAGTCTGGTGAATTAACCCACAGCGCCACATCAAGACTCTGTGCTTAGACAGATTGCCTAAAATAGTACAGATGCTGAAAGAAGATCTTTAAATTTTCAGATCTGTTTTCATTTTCAACTTTTGTGATTCAATACCTCTCAAGTGTCATTTATTCTATTGTAAACTGGAAGATGGTGAGTTTGCTATTTATAATCAAAACTGCTTTCTGGAAAGGATTAATCTTGGCAAATAAAAGGTTCTTTTGTCTAAACATCCTAATAGTTTTGGTTTACAAATTTGGGGGAAATAGATAAGAAAAGCCAAGTTGGATGTTTTTAGAGTTCTAAAGAGGAGGAGGGAGTGAGAAGATCTTGGAATAGGAAACAGAACGAGGCTAGAAGCTTCATTTTGTGAAAGAACATTTTAAGATCAAAGCTGTTGTTTTGTTTGATGTGTTTGCACTACTACAATAGAAAATCTCTCCTCTATCTTCTCTTCAAATCTTCAGGAATGTCCCCTAAAGCAACAGCTATATTGCATAGTAAATTCTGTTGCTATGTATTTTATTGTTAGAAATAGCATGTAAGAAGCAAAAGCTTGGAGGTGTAAGAGACCCTGAGATCAGAAGCAAAATTTAAAAGTTAAGCAAGACCAATGTTGAAACGATGCTGTTGTTCAGTGCCATTGAGTCAGTTCTGACCCATAGCGACCCTGTATAGGGTTTCCAAGGAGCAGCTGGTGAACTTGAACCACCGACCTTGCAGTTCAAATGACTTTGCAGTCTGACGCATTAACCCATAGCAACAGACCAGGACTCCATAGGATGCTTAGTGAGGCATAAAATTGGTACAATCACTTTGGAAACTGCCTATTAAAGTTTAATATATACATAAGCTACAAGTCAGCAATTCAAGATTTTAGGTACATGCCCTAGAGAATCTTTCTCATCCATTTATTTGTACAAGTATAATCTATCATACTTTATCCATTTTATTATTTTTGAGCATACTTTATCCATTTGATTATTTTGGACTGTTTTCAGTTTTTCATATGAAAATGTCTAAAACATTTTTGTGCATGAGTACTTGTACAATGGACAAGAGAGTAATGCACTGGACAGCAAAGTCAGTCTGAACCACAAGGTCAGTGGTCCAAGTTTACCAGCTGCTCCTTGGAAACCCTATACAGGGTCCCTACATGTCGGAACCAACTCAATGGCATTTATCCCTTAAATTTTATCTTTAAAAAGATAAAATCTTTTTTATCTCCACTAAACACCTTTCTTCATATAATAGTATACTATATTGCAACGGAGACCTGATGTGGTGCTGTGGGTTAATGCACTGGACTGTAAAATTAGTTTGCACCACAAATTTAGTGGTTCAAGCTCACCAGCCGTTCCTAGGAAACCCTATATAGGGTCACTATGAGTCAGAACTGACTCGACAGCACTTAACAATAACAACATATTGCAATAAAATCGCCACTTAAATCACCATGATTTTGAGTGTAAAAACCATACTTTTGAGTGTAAAACAAGTCATAGAAGGCTACATATTCTATGTACAGATTGTTGTTGTTTAAGTGGATGTAGTTGGTTCCGATTCATAGCAATCTGGCTCGTGAGTTTGCACAGCTGACCTTGCAGTTCAAACTGACCTTGAGGGCCAGTACTTATCCTACAGTGCCACAACAGGACTTATATATAAAAAATACAAAGACAAATCATATTTTGTTTAAGGCTAAAGACATGAGATGAACCATATTTTTTTTAAAAGAAGGAAATAATTCATTCAAACACATATAAGACAATCGTTTCCTCAAGGGATGGAGGAGAAATATGATGAGGGAGAGCATGTACATAATATTCTATTATCAAGGCAGGGAGTAGGGATATATGAATATTTGTTTTATTATTTTTGTTCCACTTATGTGAATTATGTAAAATATGCAAGTGTATATTCTTGGATGGATCTTAGCTGAAAGCAGAGAATATCAGAAAGATGTTTACCTATGCTTTATTGACTATGCAAAGGCTTTCGATAGTGTGGATCATGAAAAGCTATGAACAACATTGCGAAGTATGAGTATTCCAGAACACTTAATTGTGCTCATGAGGAATCTGTACCTGGACAAAGGGGCAGTTATTCGAACAGAACATGGGAACACCGAATGGTTTAAAATTAAGAAAGATGTGCAACAGGGTTGTGTTCTTTCACCATACTTATTCAACTTCTATGCTGAGCAAATAATACAAGAAGCTGGTTTATATGTAGAAAAACATGGCATCAGGATTGGAGGAAGACTCATTAACAACCTCTGATATGCAGATGATACAACCCTGCTTGCTGAAAGTGAAGAGGACTTAAAACATTTACTGTTGAAGATCAAAGAACACAGCCTTCAGTATGGTTTACCTCTTAGTGTAAAGAAAACAAAAATCCTCACCACTGGACCAATCAACAACATTCTTATCAACGGAGAAAAGATTGAAGTTGTCAAGGATTTCATTCTTCTTGGATCAACTATCAACACTCACAGAAGCAGCAGTCAGGAAATCAAAGAACATATTGCATTAAGCAAATCTGTTGCACAAGATCTTTTT